TTACAAAGATGCCAGAACTGTGTAAGTAAGAAAATCCATGCTTCGGTATTTTCCGAAGTTGCGTACCTTGCTGTCTTTTAGACGATCTTCTTCTTTGATGGCTGGAATGATTTTTAATGTTATTGATCCCTGAGACTGTGCCTGAGAAAGAGAAGTATTATTTACTTTGAAAGGAGGACAAAGACAACACAGACTATTCAAGTTCCATTTTAGCAGCTAGCATCTGTTTCTTCTCATAACTTTAACAGGACAAACTAATCCACTATTTAACTTCATTACAGAGACTACCATGATGTTGCATGAATCCTCCACAACAATGTCCTCTTCATGGAGACATCCACAGTAACTACCTGGGTAGAACATATTAAGACCCTACTAGGCATAAAAACTCCTTCATTTACTTTCAGCAACTGCATTAACATTCTGGATTACAGTTGACAGGGCACTAAATACTTCTGTGGCTTTTAGGACAATATTTAGCTTGTAGTTTTAAAGCCTGTTTTAAAGCACTGCTTTGAAAAATATTGCTGTAACCAGTGTCTAACTGGTTAGGGTGAAATGTAAACATCTATAAAGTAAACACCTACTTTTACCCTAAGAATCTTTGCCAGTAAATTCAATTACTAGTTATAGTAAATCAAAAAAAGCACTTCTAGGTGCTTTGGAAATCCAGAATAGGTTTATCCGACCTATTTTAGATGCCTTATTTTGGCATCCTAAAGAAGCCTGCTATTCTGCACAGATTCAAAAGGAAATCTGAACAATCAGCTTGGACAAACATTTGTAGGTCTTGCTCAAAAAATAAACCCTGAAAAAGAAATTCTTACATTGTAGGCATTTCAAACAGACAAATAGCATCTCAGGGTCCACACAGATAAAGCTTTACACAGTATTTCCAAATACAATTTTGATCCCCCCCTAAGATCAAAGTAGTCATTCTCCTTATCCAGGATTACTTTAATCTAAATTTAAATTGGGTGATGCCAGATACTTCAGTCTCCTAGTGCTGGCATTCTTCTTGCTGTGTTCCTAACTCCACTCCACAACAAGATTAGGGGGAACCAAGCCACAAGAAGAGAGTCAGAGACAAATAAGCACAAGAGTTATGACTCTTTCTACCAAGATTTGTTTGCATCAGTGTTAGAGAAACTTGAAGCAAGAAATTGCTTAAGTTGCAAGGAATCTGCTGGTAAGGAACAGATTGACATCTCTAACGGACACACAGCTGAGATTTTCTTCTGGTTATGAACAAACTGCTTATATTCTAGGAATGCACTATTAATTTGCAATTTGCTTTCCATAAGCAGAGCATGAAGGGGACATTCTTGACAGAGCAATGTGTAACTTTGTATTTGTATCTTACTCAGTACTGACTCAGTTCACAGAAGTTTCTGAAGTCAAAAGGGAAATATGAAGCCACTGGAAGAAGAGAAAGTCCTAAGGCAAAGATAAGCATAGACTGCATCTTTTAGTGCTCTCTCTATTTTAAACTCATTGTTAAATTTGATAACATATTGTAATTACTACATCACCCAATAGAAAAAATCAGTGCGGACCAAAATCTGACTTATTTCCTCCGGTCGTTTGTGAAGCACAGTAACACCATTGACTTCTCTGAGTTCATCTCCAACATGGACAAGACCTGAAACGATGGTAAGTAGAATAAGTAAGTCTACAGACTACTGCTCCTATGATATCCGACCTAAGTCATTAGCATATACCTCATCTGCAACCCCCTCCCCCAGATTAATGGATTTCCTAGCAGAGCCAAATGCCTTTGTTGGCAACGTGCTCTGAAGCCTCCTGCCCTTATTCCGCGTATTTGGTGGTGGCGTTTTGTTTTGTTCCGGGCC